GATACAGAAAAAATAGATAATTAGCTGTTCACTTATATTTGAAGTAATTTACAATTGAACAATAAGAGTGTAACATTTTAGTATTTTTTTTAATTAAATTTTCAATCAACTCTGCATTAGTCACTATGCCAATAAATGATGGCCATAGATAAGAGTTATTATCAAGGTAAAAAAACGGTAATATGCGCACCATGTCTGTTTCTTTTTCTTCTTCTTGAACGGCGAAAGATCGATTACACTTTCCTCACGCGTATTTTTCTTTTTATCTTTCTTTCTTAGTACTTTCACAACGCCAATTCTCCTCAAATACATATATCTTTATTAGTGATGAAATGAAAGAGGTCCGAAGTACACGAGTTATCCTTCAAACATGAATACCCTAACTATCCTCGAGTACACAACATGACTTCAACTTTTTAATTTGTTGTCAAACCTATCAAAAATGGTTCATGAAATTTTAGTTCACTCATAAAGCTAAAGTCCACCTGCTCTAGCAAAAAATGCCCAGTGTTTCTAGTGGTTGATGTAAAGAATTAAATTAGGTATTATTGAGATCATATTTTCAATTCGTATGTAACTGCATTTTTGCAACTGCATTTTTTAGTACATCTCATAATATTATGTATCGGTAGGTTATTCTAGAGACTCGTAACTTTTATCACTTATTTGATCCATTTAAAGTTATGAATTTCATCTAGGTATATGTGTCGAAGCGTCTTCTATATTGTAGCAAAGACCGCACTTCGATATCGTTCTTCTTTCACATGTTATTGAAAAGGAGTTGGCGCTTTTTCCATGGGCTGTAGCCCCTCAACCCCCCGTTGATTTTTTGTTTGTTTAACGTTTTTCTTGTTGTGGGTGATGTGACAGTATGAAATCCGTGGACCAGACTTTGGACATTGCTATTCTTAGCAAAAAGCGGTTTCTGGAAAACCAGTTTTCCAGAAAATCCGAAAAAAAGCCCTATATGAATTTCTTCTTATTTTGTAGCTTGGAGCTAACAATGAATATTTAGAGCTTTTCTTGTAAAGTCGTAAATACGAATTGAAAGTATGATCTCAATAATACCTAATTTAATTCTTTACATCAACCACTAGAGACATCTACTGTCTGAAATATGTGACTTTGACCGCGGTCCTCTCACGCAGCAAGCTCGAATATGAAACTCTGAACACTAGAGCTTCGTATGGACAAAGGGCCAGTTTCTGACAATGTGACCCTTTTTAGAGAGTGCACAGTGTATAATTACGCATTTGGCAAATGGATCCGAAAGCGACATATCTGAATCGAACACTACTATAAACAAGGCGCTTAAGGTTATGTTGAAAGACAACGTAGAACGTAGAAGCCTGTTGGAGTATTTCTTTGACGAAGCCTTATGGCAGTAGTCATTATAAGAAAATCAGCCAGAAACTGTATCTGAAAAAGAAAAAAAATTTAACTATATTGATGTCAGCTAGAATATAGGTGTTTTACAGGTTCTTCAGCATCTTCGATGTATTTCCGAGAGAAAGCAACATTTTTCAGGAACACATAGCGATCGCATTTAAAACGCCACACATAAAAAATTTTCTGTGCTGAAAGATATGGAAAATTTTTTTAAATAGAAAAATTAATGTTTGAATCGAATACATAAATTACATATTTCGATAAATCGTAGGTGTCTCAACTGGCTGAGAAAAACGATATATCAAGTTTAGTCTTTATATCAAAAAACTATATGTACTTGAATATTGACTTAACACTGGATATGATACAAAAACTTAAGCCTGATGTAAGTGGGACATTATAGAGACTTAAGGGTATTTCAGGGAAAAAAATTCAAGTGATGCGAGCGGTTCCATAATGCAGAGAATACTCTATCAGAGAACATATTTGGCTGCAATTGGAAAACTTAATGAACGAGATAGTCATATCCATAAGACTAAATAAAAGAAAAGAGAAAACAGAGAAAATATAATTAATTAGAATAAATGATGTTTGACAATACGATATTTTGTAAAATAATTGATCACTTTCCAAAACATTTTTATTTATATCGGAGCAATTTTACAAAATGCTTTTGCAATATTTGAAACCAGTAATTTAAAATGTTTAATAAGAATAATAGGACTAAAGTCACCTTTTTAAACATAAGTATAAAGTAACAACTTTATTTATTTGAGACGTTTCGTTCTATGCTATAGAACTTCATCAGTCAAAATGATCAGTGTGTAAAAACATGGACATAAGTAATAACTGGAACTCTAAAATATTGGCGACTGAAACTAATGCAATTAAGCGAGTAATAAAGGAGAGTTTATTAATGGATTGGTTTCGTGATAAAAAAGGAAAGAACGTTTACTCTCAAAAAAGTTTTCAGTTAAACGTTTTTTGATAATGATTCATCATTCTACATTTTACGAGAGAAGTAAAATTGTCTTCTCCGTTCTTTCCACGTTTTCTTTATATTTTTCTTTCTATTGTACTTATGTCCATGTTTTTACACACTGATCATTTTGACTGATGAAGTTCTATAGCATAGAACGAAACGTCTCAAATAAATAAAGTTGTTACTTTATACTTATGTTTAAAAAGGTGACTTTAGTCCTATTATTCTTATTAAAAATTTTCACCTTACGAAATAATTCTTCAATTATTCATACTATACGAAGGAGGTATGGTTATACAGTATTGGTGTGTTTAAGACGTTTAGAAAGGATCAAGATAAGACTTTTACGTGCTGAACTTAGTTATGATTTTTTACGAATGTGCTTACTTTATGATTCTATTCCGAAATTTGTTCGTTTCAAATCGTACAACAAACAGTCCACTGATTCTAGTAAACATCATGCTCTCCAAAGGCGTGCTCTTTATGAATGTTATAGGAACCAAGAAAAAGTTGTACAGAAATTAATGAAAGAGGTGAACAATCATGAATTGGAATTAAAGTCTTTAGTCGGGCATGTTACTTGGGTGAAAATTGAATCGCACTTTGATAAAATCATTAAAGCTGAGAAAGACGTTATTACAGTCAGACATAAAAAGAAATTGATGGATCTTAATATAGCGGTGGATGATACTGTATTTAAAAATAAACTCGTGTATAACTTTTCTTATCGAGCGCTTACTCCTGCTGAACATACTCTATTATCAAAAGGGTGGAGATATGCTATAAATGTAAAGAAATTGAATTCAATGAATGTCAAAGCCGACTTAGAGTATCTCTTTTATTGCCTCGATCGAAATTCATTAATTACAAGCAATAATCTTACAAAAGTTAAGTATCTGCTTGCTGAATTCTGTAATAAATTGAATAATCGAATCGAAAGTGAAATTCCTAATTTATCATGTGATGAAATCAAGGCTATGAATACACTAATGAATGATCATACATTAGTTATAACCAAAGTTGACAAGGGTAATGCTATAGCTGTGCTTAATAGAATTGACTATTTGGATAAAGCTAATGCTATATTAGACGACAAAAATTTATTTGTGTTAAGAAATAGAAATTTAACTGAAGAACGTGAGAAAGAGTTAATTCATTACTTATTGAAGTTAAAGAGAGGCAAAATAATCACGGAAAAACAATATGATTTAATGAGACCGAAGACTGGATCACGTACGCCTTATGTTTGCTTATTTCCTTATGTTGCTTATTTCCTACCTAAGGTGCACAAATCTACTCTTCCTGTTCGTCCCATTATTTCTAGTTATGATGCTTATAATCACAATACAGCCCGATATTTGGCTAACTTATTATTATCATCAATATCAGAGTCTGACTCATATTTGAAAGATTCCTTTGAATTTGTTCATAGAATAAAACAAAATAAATCTCAGCCTGGTCTTATATTCAGTCTAGATGTAGCATCATTATTTACGAATGTTCCATTGGAATTGGCGATTACAATTGCTATAGAGAAAATTAGAAAATATCATCCTTCATTAACTATAGATGATAATAATCTAAGACAACTATTTTATTATTGTACAAAACGGACCAATTTTACATTTGATAATCGTAACTATGATCAAATAAATGGTGTAGCAATGGGAAGCCCACTAGCTCCTATTTTGGGACATTTATTTATGACTAATCTGGAGCTGAAACTTAAAGAATTTCGGGGGAAGAAGCCTGATATATATCTTAGATACGTAGATGATATTTTTGTTTTATTACATGGTACACAAAAAGATGCTGCTGCCTTAAAAAAGTATATGAACTCACTACATCCTACGATCAAATTTTCTATTGAAGTGCAGAATGACAATAAGCTGCCATTTTTGGATGTAATGGTGGAAAGAAAAGATAAGGAACTCATCACATATGTTTACCGTAAACCAACAGATACTGGTCTATATTTAAAATGGACCAGTAATCAGCCTAGAAGCTACAAAATTAATTTATTAAAATGTCTATGTATTAGAGCTCAAAGAATTTGCTCAACGTCCACTCTTCTTGAGCAGCAATTCCAGTATTTTAGAATAATGTTTCGTGCTAATGGTTATCCAAATAATGTGATTAATAAAGTGATTAGAGGTGTAAAATTAGGTAAATCGTTGCAGCAAAATAAGTTGCCTATTAATAAACAGGGGAAAAAAGTGTTTATTCCAATTCCTTATTACGGAACATTTACGCTGACTCTAGCTAACAAACTCCGAAATATAGTTAAACACCCCTTGAAAGAAGTAACTTTCTCCTTTAAATCGAATAACCGTTTGTCGAATATATTCAG